TTTCAGCTGAGATCTACCACCAGGAAAGAGCTGCTCTTAGAGCAGGAGAAGAGGCTTCCCACTCACCTGATTCCTGAGGAGAAGGAGGCAAGAGAAGTGGATGAGAGAGCAGAGACTTGGGCTGCCCTTTATAGCAGTCCTGCATTGCCTGGGGCTCAGAGGCTCGTTGGTGCAAGTAATAATTTTCTGACCAGCTCATGTCAAATGTGAACAATCCCAGCTAATGGTAGGGCCTGTGTCCTGGTTTCCTGAACTGCTGCCTTTTCATTTCCTTGCTTCTGCCACGTGCTTTCCTCCACGGGTGGTCATTTCCCCACGTGCCAGGAGGAGAGCATCAAGCATATCAGAGCAGGACAGCAGTGGACAAAAAAAGCTTCGATCGAGGCTTGTTGGCATACCAGCTCATTTGTACCAGTGTCATTCCTGTGGACTTCTTTGTGGCCAGAAATCGACCCTGCTCTTGTGCTTCTCACCCACATGCCCAAGCTCTGCACGTGACATGGCACATTCTTTTCCTCTGTTTCCTTCATAACTCCCTGATTAACACTCAGTGTGTACTCAGGTGGGCTTCTGCTGGGAGGGTTTGACCCTCATGCTGTGCCAAGAATACTCTCTGAAAAACTGTGTGATCTCATTGACCTCATCCCACCCCTGGGCACTCCTTGTAGGTCTTCTGTCCCTCCATGGTCCACTTGCGTCCTGTCCTGCTGGTGTGAAGGCTCCAATGCAGAATGCACATGTGTCAGCCTGGGATTGTAGGACCTTCATCCTGGGAGCATGTGCAGGCATGGTCTCCCCTGGTGTGTCCGTTCCCCCCACAGTGTTGCCAGCTTCTGTTGCCAGAAGGAGCCAATCTACAGCAGAACAGCCTTCAACCTTGCAAAGCAGTGTCCAAAGCACTGAAATGCAACATCTTCCTCCGGCACCCTCCATTTCTTGCTTTATGTAAAGGGAGAAAAGTGAAGAATGTCTGCCAATCACTGCAGAAATGTCTGAAAGCACAGACTGTGCGTGAGAACTGATTAACATAGAAAATGAGAAACCTGTGTTTGGGACAGAGAAACCTACCCACTAAAAGGTACCCCCACAAGTCATCCCTCATTGATACCTGCAGGTGTAAAGTTGCTGGTGTCAGGGAGGGGACACAGACTCATCCTGTGCAGGCCAGTGCCAGATGCACTTGTAAAGCTCAGCAGCCTGATGCTGAGTGGGGCAGAGCTGAGACCTCCCAGAAAATGGGAATTGGCCCCATGTTCATCTGGTGCTCTCTTGATATATGTATGACAGGTCGACCAACCCAGCATAAAGGCTGCATAGCTGAGTGATGCTCCTCCTCTCTGGTGGCCTTGCTGACATCTTTGCCAGGTGGTTCTGCTGGGAGCCAGGACCAACTCCCTGTTGGATCAGCTTTCAAGATGAGGTCCTGGTGCTTGTAACCTGAGTGAGATGTCCACCAGTGACAGATCTGTGTCCATTAGGGCCAACCATGTTCTTGGGGACATCAGGTCCAGTACTGCCAGCTGGGCCAGGGAGGGGATTGTTCTGCTCTGCTCTGCATTAGAACAGCCTCCTCTTGAGTTCTGGGGATAGTTTGGGGCAATACAATGTAAGAAAGATATTAAGCTAATAATCTGCCTTGATTAGCCTGGTCCATGAACATATTGGAAGAGCTGCCACAGAACGAAGGAGAACTTGGAGGCCAAGGCAAGAGTGCATGAAAACTTTAATGAGTCTGAGGAAGGAAAGGCGGTGGCTCACAGAGAGCACCAGGGGCAGCCACTAAGATGCAGTGGAGGACCTGCAGGGTGTCCACCTGCCTGCCATGCAGATGTGGAGAGAGCAAAATATCCCCACTAGACTTTCCTGGGGAGACCCAGAGAGCTGGAGGTAAGAAAGAGGAGAGGTGAAGAAGGAAACAATGATTGGTAGCTCTGTCATGTCCCCTCACATGGCTGAAATTGGGTGTGAGGGCAAGAAAACAAGAGCAGTGTCCATTTCCTGCCAACATTGCCTCAAACAACCCACTCAGAAATGATCCAAGAGAACATCACCTGCCCACAGGGGGTGCCCAGAGCCCTTGACCTGAGACTTCAGCCTCAAAAATCCTTGAGCCTGTCACCCCAGCACTTATGGAAGGAGATATTCATATAGGAGAGCACGTGGCAGAAACCAGCAAATGAAAATGTAGCAATGCAGGATACTAGGACACAGGCCCTACCATTAACTTGGATAGTTCATATTTTAGGTGAGCTGGTCAGAAAGTTATTATTTCCACCAACAAGGCTCTGGGCCTGAGGCAGTGCAGGGCTGCTATAAAAGGCAGGCCAAGCCAGTGCTCTCTCATCCACTTCTCTTGCCTCCTTCTCCTCAGGAATCAGGTGAGTGGGAAGCCTCTTCATCCTCCTCCTTCTCCTCATCCTCATTCTCCTGCTTCAAGAGCAGCACTTTATTGGCTGTAGATCTCAGCTGAAAGGGGCATTAGGAGCCCAGGGCTGGGAGCTGCTTGTGCTGGGAGAGGGCAGAGGAGAGAAGGTCTTGTGCAGAGAGTGCCTGGGACTTGGCTCAGATGGCTGCTGGGCTCCGAGCTGGGCACTGCAGTGCGGGCCAGGAGGTGCCTTGGCTGCAGGGTGGTTGGGGGCAGTGCTGCTTCTCACACGTCCCTGCTTTGTGTTTGTCCCTGTCCTCTGTGCCAGGTGCACCTGTGACCCCGAGCCATGTCCTGCTGCCSMCCCTCCTGCAACCCTTGCTGCCAGCCCTGYGGCCCCTGCCCRCTGGCCAACAGCTGCAATGAGTGCTGTGTCCGCCAGTGCCAGAGCTCCAMTGTGGCCATTGAGCCGCCTGCTGTGCTGGTGACCCTGCCTGGCCCCATCCTCAGCTCCTTCCCTCAGAACACCGTGGTGGGATCTTCTACCTCTGCTGCCGTTGGCAACATCCTCAGCTGTGGTGGAGTGCCCATCAACTCTGGGGGCTTTGACCTCTCCTGCATCACCAGCTGCTATGGTGGCAGCAGGTGCCGTCCCTGCTAAATCTGCTGGCAACAACCTTGGGCAAGAACCCACAAGACTTGACAACATGGTTCTGGCAGAACACGGTTTTGAGCAGGAGACAGAGCTTCTGGACATTGTATTTACAGCTTCAGGGTGATGTTTCTTTCTCCTATACTTCCTTATTCTTCCTGTGCTATCTGTGTCTCCCAAACCAGCCCACGGCACCTGTTGCCCTCCTTTCCTCTTTGGGCAGGCACATGGACATCCTGCAGGAGCTCCACTGCATCTTGGTGGCTGCTCCTGGTGCTATCTCTGAGCCACCTTCTTTTCTTTTGACTCAATAAAACACTTTTGCATCCAAGCCTGGGCCTCTGAGTCATCCTTCATTCTCTGGCAAATCTTCCATATTGTTTAGGGAAAAAGGTGGAGGAAGCAGAGGCTTTGACACCTTTGAAGCTGACAGAGTCATCCATGGCTTCGCAACAGCCTAAGGCCCTGATGGAGACCATGGCTCCAAAGTTTACCTACAGTTGTGAAGGGAAATGACAACACCTCAGACAGCCCACAACCTCACCTCTTCCTTCTCCTCCCCCTCATTACCTGCTCTGCAGTCCATGTCCTGCACACAGGAGCACAGGGAGATGAGATGCACTCCCTCAGCACAGGCAGGACCCAGCTGCTATCCAGACATGCAGGGCATAGGTGATTCACAAGTTTGCTATCAGGCATCCTCTGGCTAAAGCTGTGCTAAATGACTTTCAGCTGAATTTCTGCCAATATCTTATGGCTTTGTTATAAATTTGTAATATTTCTCGTGTATATGAATGTCTGTAATCTGTCCATCGACTTCTCCCTGGATGGGGCTTTGGATCAAACCAGTGCCCACTGCTGCTGGGTCAACCTTTGGTCAACAGCCCATGCCCACTTTGTCACCTCATTCCTGTGTTTTCATTGTACTGTGTTGTGCTTGTCTCCAGGATAAAGAAAGAGAATGTTTGTCCCAAAAATGGGCTGCCTCCGTCTGTACGACCCCTTCGCCAGCCACAGCCTGGTCTCACTGCGCCTTCTTACCAAGAACCCTCAGGTGGCTCTACAATCATCCAGATATGGATTTGAGACATACAGGTGCGTCCCTCATTGCCTTACGTTACATAGAAGGTGTAACCAAAAAAAATCTGTATTCTATTACCATCTCCATAAGCTGTTAAACCAGGTAGGGCAGTGCTCTTTATCTTCAGTATGATTCAGCCCTGATAACA